GTTGTTTTATCCTCTTGCATGTTCTTACTGAATGAATGTGTTGATTGGAATTCTTTGCAAAGGGTTGAGTGATGCGATAAAGCAGGCAATGTCATAATGTGCATTTGTCTTACTTTACAAAATTATTTTTCTGCTCTAGGCCATCGTCCCAGCCAATCGTGGAGGAAAGCATACTTGCAATAGCAATATCATAATTTAACATCGTCGTTCACTCCAACAATGCAACGCGATGCAAGACGTAAGCCTTAGACACGAGGAGTTAATGAGTTTTCTCATAATCTCGTGTGACATGGTGGGCATAACTTGTGCACTGAATGAAAGATACAAATTCCTCTGATCTGTCCACACGCATTTTTAGTTATGCAGAACTTGACTAAACCTCTAATAGTTTTGGGCCCAATGAGAAATTATGTTTTTTAAAATCATTAAATATTTACAAGCTGTAAATATTGCAGCAAATGTGGCAATCGCAATATAACTCTGAGGAAATTGCGTTTCCTATAATGCACGTAATGATGCCACCAACCAAGAGCTGAACCAAATCTGAGCAGGCAGCCTATTACATACCACGTCCACCACCACCACCACTTCATTATTGGCAAGATAATAATAATAATGGCAGTAACAAGAATAATAATAGATACGTACGTCGAGAATCTAGTAGGCAGCAGGAGTAGGAGCATGTAGTAAAAAAGGAGCATGTCTATCTGGCATGGTCATGGTTTAACAACCGGAGCAGCAAAAAGAGTTTTAATCAGATCACCCTCAACCGAAAATATAGATCAGTAGTAGCACCAAGCAAGCAACGTGGCGAAGAACGAGTGTGCCATTATTTATTATGCTGCCGATGGATGGAATGTGATCCCTTTCGCCATGTCCTTTCTCAAATAAAAAGATAATTAAATCATGTGACTGACAATATCCAATCGTTATTGATGCAGTTTTTGGAACAAGAGCAGAAATAGAGATGGATTCTTCTCAAGAGAGCTGTACACACAGACACGCCAAGAATAAGGAGGCAAGGAAACCTCATGTATACCAATCCGAACCAGTCGACTGTGCAGACACGTTCGTTCGTCATGAAGAGATCTCTTGATTAACAAACATATTATACTTTGGGCAATGGACGCTGTCACCTTGTTTTGTTACAAGTCTTTAATTCAAGTCCAAAAAAAGAAGGTTGACATTGAGGCGCAGAGAAGAAAATGCATGCCACACAGATGAATTCAGGCACAGTTTCGAAAGTGATGCCTTGTGAGTAAATAGAAACGAAGCCCTCTTGTTTCGCATTTCTGGTTGGAACCTATTTATGAAACAAATTATTTTGTGCTATTTATCTATCGCTATTAATGCTGCTGCCCTTTATTGCTTTTTATGTGCTCTCGCTCGCCCTCTGTCTACAGCACAAAATGAAATAATAATACGAATCATAATTTGAGACCTTGATTTCCAACATGAATTAATAATATCCATTCAATTTCTTGAATAATAACTCCTTGCATAAACCAATCTGGTTAAGAATTTGAGAAATTTCCTATCAAACCGTGAAGTTCAACTGGTTGGAAGCGATATTGTTTCCGGGTGGTATTAGCTATTTCCCATGCGCTGTTTGCATGCAGGCAACACTTAAAAATGAATGATGTCGTCGTCGTCATCGCATCGCCATCGCTTTGTCAGAGATAAAATATTTGTCCAATTTATCTCACGATATGACGACATTACAGCGCAAGGAGTATCAGTGCATAAACGCAAAACCAATTAATTATGCTCTCTCAAGATAGGGAAGAAGGCAGGCAGGAGAGATTATGAGACCACCATCAAGGATTGTGTCTCTGCTGGATAAAAAGTAATTAATTTGTAACTTGCACAATAAAGCTGAAAGAAAAGTTACGAGATTTTATACACATTAATAAATAAATAAATTTTACAATAGCAGGGACTTCGCAACCCACTGCGGCGGCGGCGGTGGAGGGTTGCACAACGCGTAAATGCAGATGATATGGAATCATAATGGGCGATGGATAATTTTTTACACGGGAATAAAACTACGTTCCATCGCCATGTAGGTGAAATGTGTGAGGAGGGAATGAATGGAAGAATTGCCTGAATTTGGCCAAAGCAATTGTCGCCCTGGGCCAAGCAACCGGATCAAGATTACATCTTTTGATGGAGGAATTTCTTGGATTTATTGCACTTTGCACTTTATACCAGCACTCTCTCACCAATAAGGAAGACGCAACCAAGGAATGCAAGCTGGCTAAAATTTTGAGTGGTGGAAAATTAAGTCATCCACTTAATTCTATCCTTTTCTTTCTCTCCCTTCCCTCTCCGTATGGATGCAGGAATTAAGTACGTTGGATAAATTGCTCAATAAATTCAAATGGAATTTCACGGAGCCAAAATGGATTTGATGATGACGGTGGACGGATTTGGGCAAATTCCCATAAAACAAACTTGAGGAAGGAGCAGGCAGAAGGAGAATTATCTCCGAAAGCATCACAATTTTACGACAACTACCTGCTTGCGTTACCAAAAGGGCATCACTCATTCACTACACGCCTGAGATTAGTTAATTGGTTGGCCGTAATAATTAAATGTAATAAAATATCGAATCGCACCAAGGTGACTTTCTTCCCATTACTGTGGAAAATTAATCAATTGTGTAACACAGAGGAGGAGTGAATGGATGGATGGATGGCAGTGCAGAGTGAAATTTGCGTTGGTGGTGGCAATCTTAATTTTTTTAAAGCTCGTATTATGTGGACGCCAATGGAACAGCCTTGTATTTCTAATGAATGGAATTGAGGACCACCAACAAACAAATCAAAATCAGCGCAAATAGAGTTGAAGGGGACAACAATACGAATAAATAAATAACAGTCAGAGAGTCGCAAACTTTTACTTTTGTTTGCCATACATGCGCGTCTATGCAGATGTAGATACGTAGGCATTCATCTATCTGGTGGGGACTGGGGAGTGATATGCTGCTGATGTATAAATCAACCAAGATAAGATGTGACAACTAAATATTACGCGATTATTTATATTGTTTGAAAAGTGTGGTGGCTACTGTAAAAAACCGTGAATCGGAAGCGATCGTGTGTAAATTTCCCTTGGGGGAAGACTCTCGACATCAATTTAAGTTGTCATCCTTACCTGTAAGATAAAAGAAAAGTAAACATAAGAATTGCATCAATTTTCCACAAATTAAGGAATAATACAGAAGATACTTAATTATACGTGGGTGTCGTGCTCATAATTTTGTAAAGTTTTGAAAACGTGAATTTGTACGGAAGTACATGCAAATGTACGAATGCATCCCTTGTAACAAATGCCAAACAAAAATTTGATCCGGTTTTTCTTTTCATTTATGCAACAAACAGAGAAGGTCTGAAAGAATGCAAGAATTGAAATTGAGATTGAAATTGAAGCTGATTTCAACTCGGCATGAGTCCACTTTTTTTCTAAGGAACCCTTTAAATTTAAATATTGACGGGAGGTGGTCAATTCAACTCACCATTTCAATTTCAATTTCGTTACAAAACAAGTCATAAATATAAAAATGTAAAAATTGAATCTGCTCTCCCTCTCTCTCCTGCATTGTGCTTGGGAAATGAGAATGAATCAAAATTGCAACCCATTGCAGGCAGGCAGATAATGCTAATCCACTCCGTCTGCCCAAGCAGAATCGTTGAGAGTAGGAATGGGTTCGGATCGGATCGGATTTTGGGGTCTTCGGTTCAATCCGACTCGGATTATGCCCATTATCGGATTGATCCGAGGCGGATTGACCGACCAATCCGGTCCGATTCGGATCAATCCGACGGATTTCGGATCGGATCGGATTACTAAACCGGTTATATCGATTAAAAATCCAATACTGGCAATAATTACATACATCTATAATACATATTATGTATGCCTACTCAAGAGATGATAATAATACTACCCAATATGCATTACATATACACAAGGTTCAATAATTAATTAGTAGTATATGGTTAATAAAAACCGACAAAGCAATCTAAATTTCACCCTACCAATTGAATAGGCAATAGTTAATAGTGGGGCAAATTAAATTGCATGATGGATAAACTTTTATATCTCACACAATGGCTAAGATAACAGCTTGAAAATTTTCAGGGAGGTAGCCCAGAAATATTGGGGTTGGATGCCGTTCCTGAATTTTAAAAATATCATCTAGGTCAAAAGTCACAATATTTTTGACCCAAAAGGTAACTTTTCAAGTTTCATGACGATGTGTTTCTTTGGAGGCTTTATTTTTACCGATAGCGCAGCGAAATGTGAACACTTTTGATATGTTGTACACTTCCGTGCGATTTTTTGAACAAAGTAGCGAATTTTTTAATAAAGCGAGTTTTGACAAATTGTTAAAATTCGCCTTACTAAAAAATTCACTACTTCAAATGTGTACATATGTACAAGATATCAATATGTTCACATCCAGTTGAGCTATATATTTGTCAAGAAATAAAGCCCCATATGAAAGCAAGTCACCGCGAGAGTTGAGAAGTGCGCTTCTTAGTCAAAAATAGTGACCCTTAAGCTTTTTGAAATTTGCAAAAATAGGGACGTGATCCAATCACAATATTTCTGGGATAGCAAATTTTCAAGCTATGATCGTGGCCATTGTTTGAGATAGAACAGCTTATCCATCCTACACTTTACTTTTCTACACTGTAATTAATAATTAATTACAGTTCACCGAATATTATTAGCTTGAAGAAATCTAAAAGCTTCGTGACAGATTATTTCGTAGTGTTTTCGAGCAACCAAATAACCTTTTAGAAAATTTATCAACGAATTGCGACTATTTACATTAACTGAATAAGAATTTTTGACTTTGCCCAATCAATTTTAGACGTATGCGTGGACAAATTATGTTAGAGGTAGGAGAGAGAGAGAAAGAGAGATTGTTTTTTGAAATCTGTCGTAATTTGTCAAATATGTGAGTGAAAAACTGTGGGATGAATAGAGGATGCAAGCTGGATTCCCCCAAATAATGCAATCCGAAATCCGATCCGAAATCCGATGGAAAGCCTCGGATTGATCCGATCGGATTTTTGAACCAATCCGATCCGACCGGATCGGCTTCGGATCGGAAAAAACCTTAATCCGATCCGACATAATCCGACGGATTAGGATCGGATCGGATTACCCATTCCTAGTTGAGAGCACTGATTTATACAACCAAATAAAATATTTTAAACGACTCCATGCGCTTCGTGCTAATGCCCAAGAACAAGGAGAGAAGTTTGCCAAATATGGGCGAAAGGAATTTAAATGGTCCAAGTTGCAGTAAAAAGAAATGCCTTCTGCTCAAATTGCAACATTTTATGGACAAGTTTGGTTAGTCTTAAATTTTAATTGATTTTCTTCACTCTTGAATGTATTAAAGAGAATGAATGATGATGAATATTTTTTACCAGGCTCAAAAAACCAAGACTTTTGTGTCCAGAAAGTGAAGTTGAAGGAACTTGTCAGGAGTAAGTATGCACGAGGAAGGAGAATCCATAACTTGGAAAATAGGACGTTCATATCCAGCCAGCCAGGTATCTACGTACGTACTTATCTACGTGCATATTATGTCCAGGCTGTGTTTGGAAGTGCAATTATTCCGGTAGAGTCAACATCTCGGAGAAGTGAGCCCACTTTAACCAAATATTTTCACTTTTCTAAATAAATGCCAGGTGTCATATATTACGAAACCGGGCATGGATGTATGTCCTCATTACGACATAAATGCTAAACGGGAGGGAAAACTACCAGCCTATGTACCATACGTATGCATATGCATATGTACCGTAATGATTAGGGTGGTGTGCTAAGGTAAACAAAAACGTCTCAGGACTTGGGGAAAGCTGCCAATTAAAGTCCATACATATGGAATTGTGTAACTCGATTGGAAAGTAAGCTGCAGGTCTTTAGTGTAATTTTAGGACCGCTTCTGACCGGTTGGGTAGAAATGAGAGGTCACCTCATCGTCCTCATGAAAGCTGAGATCATGATGATACCCACTTGGATTTTGTTTTACTGTCAACAATGCAACAGTGGCACGGACAACATAATTGACTCGAGAGTTCTCAACAGGGACGTGATTTCTACCCAATATTCCCAAGATTTTCACACCGGTTAGTACCCAGTCGCAATTTTTAATATTCTGAGAATAACTCGCTGTAATGTGATTCTCTACCACCACGTTCCATTCAGGTCTCCCATTATCGTGCAATAATTTCGCAATCATTCCCAACATTACGAGCGTCTTAAGAACAGCTCCAGACACGGGAAGAGGTCTTATCATTCCGCAAGATCGCTTCATTTTTATCAGCGTGGCGAACGACCAGCAATTCCACGATGCGATGATTTCTGTAATATTACTTCAGCTATCGACACTTAAGTACGTATTAAGAAGTATTGTATATGTTTTTATATCAGATAGACATTTATTCCCACCACGTGTCTAAATGGAAGCCGACCTACATTCTACAAATGTCACCCGAAGAGTTCCCACCTGACACCATTCCACAAAAGCTGGCCTCGTCCTCTCAAAGGTTAACATGGATTGATCTCGCTTCCCGAATTTTTCTACAATTTGGGGAGACTGAGATGTACGAGCTTTATTTTATAAAGGGTGCACTTTTCTTTAAAATGGTGACTGACACCTTCTCCCTCTCGCCCTATGGGTTGGCCTTTGGTGAAAGCGAGCTTTTCAGGAGGAAGAACTTTGAGGGGGTATTAATCAACGGGGTGACACAGGTGGGTCTCTCTCCATACGAAGTTCCATCCATGTAGCTTGTGAGATTTACAAACCATCTTGATATTAATTTCATGCAGGATGACAAGGAGCTCTTCCTCATCGCCACCTTTGAGAACGTCAGCATCCCCAAGTTCGAGAGTGGTTTGTCAGTCTCATACTTTGAACTGATGGCTTGGGGTCTCAACTTTTCGTAATATTCTTCAAATAATTTCTAGTATTTCTGGCTCACAAGATGATTTGTGCAGAGTCGGGGCTGTTCGAGGAACAGGCTGGATTCGCCGCGCCGAGGACGGTTCTTTACTTGGCATGGCGCAGCAACTCATCAGCGGCGAGGCAGACATACTCATCGCCCACTCCGAACTGCTTCCTTACCGTCTCCGAGGCCTCAAGTTTTTGCACCCCTACTACCGCGGAAGCGTCAGAGCGTTCTTTAAGCAGCCCGGATTGAGTAAAATCCGCAACATTTTCTTCAACCCTCTCCAACCATCCGTTTGGGGATGTCTATTTCTGCTCTGGCTCCTGCTCGTGGCCTGCTTAAGGGTCACTTCTACCCTCAAGAGCAAACTTCTGGGGAGACCAGGGGGTAAAAATGGGAGAAAGAGCTCAGACCTCGACTTGGTCGCCTCTTCCGTCCATGATAACAACGAAAATGGGGACTTTAACGCCACGAGACTTCAAATGGACAATCTGTTGGCGAGAGACGCCTTCCTCTGGGCAATCTCGACAGCTTGCGGGCATGGTATGGCAGAAAGCAGTAATATTACGAGTACTAATTCGTCTCAAGAGAAAAAGAAATCTTTTTTCCCAGGTTGGCACATTCTCCCACACTCGGGTTCCATGAAATTAATCATGCTCTCGGGCCTAACGACATACATCTTTTCCTACACCGCCTACTCCGCCGCCATCGTCACCTCGCTCTCCGTCTTTCTCGTGCCCATTAAAAACTGGGCTGATCTGAGCGGCTGGAGTGGGTACACGTTGTATGGCGACGTGCTCCTCCAGTACAGCGAACAGTTTGCTAACAAAAGTGGCTCAGATAGTAAAAAGTCGACCAACAAAGGGCTCATGAATGTGACGGACGCCCTACTTCGGTTCCAACGGAATGAACCCATCGCCCTTATCTCGGTTTATGATCAGTTCTACCAAATTGCGGGCAGAGCCAATTACTCGCATGATTTTCTGTGTCGTTCCGTCGCAAAGGTCACTGTGGACGGGCATGTGGTCAAGGGAGGCATGATCGTGAGGCAGGACTCCCCGTTCAACAAATACTTTAACTTCATGTAAGACACGCATATCCTAAGTGATTGCCAATCTTTGCCTTGTCTTGATGTAAAAAAAATGCTAAATTTCAGCACAATTATGATACAAGAACGGGGTCTGGATGCCCGACTTTCTCGCCACTATACGAACCAATGGAGTCCGGGATGCTTGGTGCAGGGGACTCAACGCGTGGACAAGCACATTTTAGAGATTAACGACGTTTTCACAGCTTTTGCCATCTTGTTGGCAGGCTTTCTCGCGAGTGGATGTCTAGTTCTGGTGGAGCGAGGGTCAGCATCAGGTAGCCGGGGTCGAAATTACAAGCCCTCTTTACATGCAAATTACAGAAAATCTACTTTACGACGAATGTGGGGCTGGGGAATTGTAATGTGGCGAAATCTGAGGAGAATGATGCGAATAAAGAGTGACCACCAGATTGTGACCCCACCAAAATCAAAGCTATAATGATGATTGCAATAAAATCACAAAATACACAAAATGTCTCCATTATCTAAAATCCGCCTGATTGATTGTAGCATCATTTTCGTTTCGTGATTGATTGGTTCAAATTTAAAAATGTAAAATTTCCGCTAACATGCAGAATCCATGTCGTCTGTTCCTTATAGCTTTGGACTACAGGATTGATGTGGTGCATGTAATGATGTGTCAGTGACTGACTGCGCAGACAGTTCTTGGGAAGATAATGAGGGGTAAATGGTTGAGATGCAGTAATGATGCGGTTTTCCATCAGGCAATAAAAAATAAGGAAACAGCTAAATTGTGGTAGTGACACTGGTCCTTCTCTTTCAATCGAGAATCGATTACATTTCCCGAAACCCGAAAAAAATGTCCACCAGAAACAATGTCCAAAACTAGTCCTACAAATAATTCGCAAATTTGTAAATTTCTGAAATTATTACCCATTTATTGAAACATGCATAAAAGTGCATTCTGATCCGTCCAAAACTAAATGTTTTTCTACAATTTTCCGTTGATTCTTTAATTATTTGATTCCGTTACACAGTCGTCCGTCACAACTCACCTCTTCCTAAATTCAATCCAATCCATCAAACTCAAAAGCCGCAAAAAGTGTGCAATCAAAAGTAGCAAACAACAAGTCTGACTGGGAACTAAGTGCAGTGATAACGAGGGAATTTTTGCCCACAATAAAATATTGCTTCTTTGCAAGGAAAAAGTAGTAATTCAATGCAGCCCACTGACTGACTAACTGCATGTCCATCACAATATCTTCCTTGCCCAATATTATCTACTATCCACTGCTACGTAACGTACATGGCAAATAACTCGGGCAAATTCGTGACAGTTTTTATCTTTGATACAGAGACAGCCACACTCCGAAAGGGTTGAGTGGACGAAGAAGGAGGATAACGTTACTTGTTCCATATGATACTCCTTCCTTATCCGTTGAAATTGGGCAGGTGGATGCAGGTGTACATGTAACCAAACCATGCACATGTGTACCATGGCATGTGCCTCAAGAGAATCAATTGCTAGTACAATTCCTAGAATCAAGACAAAACAATCCGACGGAGCAAAACTGCTGAAAAAATGTGCCCAATTCGCCAATTTCTTGCTAAAGTTCATACGGATTCTTTAAGTCCTCTACATACGTGCATACATTTTTATTTATTAAACAGTGTACGTACATATGTATACATTCCTTTCCATGTTGAATCAATCTCCTTTATTGAACACGATCTAGGAGCACATGATAAAATATCGAGTCTATTTTTTCTCATCGATGACTTTCCCCTTTTGCCTGATTAAAAAAATCGCGACTTATCGGGGTGACAGATTGGCCTCCCACATTATTACAGCCACCACCACCAGCAGCAGCAGCACTAAAAATAATAATAAAGCTACACACTCGAGTATCAAAGTAAATTAAAGCTAACTCAATAATGGGGCATGCATGGCTCAGTCATGTAGCATGCAAAATTATTTATTGTCATTGTGTCTCCTTCCTGCATTCGGACACTCCTCTCATCATCGTCTCAGTGAGTCAGGCCCTGCATGTCGTGTCCGTCCGTCAGCCAGGTAAGAATGCAGCCATCTACATATAGCTCACTCAATAATAAGACGTCGCTTGTTGGTGGTGAGTTAAGCAACTTAACAAATTTCCCTTTCCAAGGTTTTTTCTTGTTCGCCACTTCTTTTTGCTTGTTCTTTCGCATGGTGTAAACAATACTTTTGGCACACTGACTCACTGCTACGAGCTACAGGAGCTATGCACTCATGTCCTAGCTGGCAACACAATAAGGACTGAAATTGCATTCAGATTGCGACACAAAACAAAGTGACGAAACACTCCGGCTTTTTTGTTCGATAAGAAGAAACTAATTGAAACTTGAAATTGAGAAAGAAAATGAACAACAAGCATCATCATGTTCAACAAGTTGATGACTGAGTGACTTAAATGGAGTAAAAATTTAAAAAGTTTTGCTACTTTACTTTTCTAGAACAAAAATGGATTTCTATGAATTTGGTCGATTTTCACCTTCTTGCATAAATTCTAAGGTCACATTTGCTGACATTTGCTCGCTCTCACTCACTATTTTCTCATCAACTATTTCCGCCAATACTGCATTTGGGCGAAAAATGCATCGAATGCATTCCTTGTACACTAAAGGACAAATTCAGTTCATGCTTACCCAGTAGAGTAATTATGTTAATGTTTGGCTTTGCGCCGACTATAAAAATATATGTATCCACTAATCGAAACAAATTTGCAAGTCCAGCTCGTTAGACAATAGTTCATATTAATTCACCCAAAATGTATTTTGATCTTTTGCTGATCTCTTTTTCACATTTTTTGTGTTTTCATACGGCAGCTTCCCTGGTTCTTATTTTCTAATGATTTTATAGACTAAGCGAGATGATTTGAATAGATGCCAGGATGATGAATTTAAGGGGGAACGTCACTCTCCATTTACGAGAGAAACTTAGGGTTTTTATGAAAATTTGAGATTTCTTTTATTCACAGCAACGTTCGTGGTCGTGCCCCCGGGTAAGAGTGTGAGAACTTAATAAATTTTGAGAGATGTGTGTGTTGAGTAGAAAAACTTTTGAAAATTAGGTGCTGTTTGTGTCGTGCCTTGTCGTGACGGACGTAATTATTGCCAACATTACCACCACCCGCAATTAAATACTCGCTTACAACACACGTATCTCGAGATTTTGGGCTCTTTGCTCATTTCAATTTTCACGTAACGAGTTTTCATATTCGTGGAAGAAAAGGACAAAAAGTAACGAGCGAGGAACAAACGAGGCCTGTGCCAAAGTGGGGACGTGAACCAAGAGGTCTCCTCACTCACAATACAGTTAATAATCAAATAATCATAGTGAGAAAAGCAGTGGTGCTAATCGTCTCGTCTGATCACACCAAGGGGAATAATAATAATCATGAATGAGAATAATCACAGGGGGTAATGGGACAATTATTAACACAACCAAACACCTATAACTTGTTCCTTTCACGAAAATGGGTAAATTCTTGACAAATTTCTACTTTATTCAGACAAATAACTTCTCTCACTCCTCTCGCAGCTAAAAACCAACCATTCTTTTATCGACTAATTAACATCCAACCAAACTCGTAATTATGTCATTGCCACTGTTGTTGCAAGACTTGAACCCTCCCTTCATAAATCAGAGACCATTTAAGACTCTCATCTTTTGGCCCGCAATAAAAATAATAATAATAAAACCAAATCACATTACTGACCAAGAGCAAAGCAAACAAAACATGGCATAATTTGTGTGCCTTGCCTATAGCTCAGGCATTCGCTACATTCGTACGTACGTATATGGCGAGGGTATTATTATCATCATCTGTCCTCCTGTGCATTGTGCAGTACAAATTGGAAATTATTGTGTCACAAGATGTAATACAAGCCATGTTGAATAGTCATGAGAGTTGATACACATACAAACAACAAGCCCCATGTGCAAGCATGGCCACTATAATACAACCAGCCAACTCTGTAATAATGGCAGTAATAATAATAATAAAAATACTCCCTACTTGCTCTGTTGCCGTTGTTGTGTTCTAGCTGATAGAGCTGCAGTAGCTCCCAACAATAATTCATCGCGAATTTAAATGTCGTCATCTGCGAAGACACTCAATTAAGCAGTTTGCCTCCTCTGACTGACTGAGGAATGAGCCAGGTGAATTAAACCGCGTTGGATTTGATGCCAAGCAGAATGTAAAAATACATGCTCCTGAAGATTGCTTATTGCATTGCCACTGCTGCCATAAAGTAATGATGACTCCTCATCTGAATACTTGTGTGCCTACAACTGACAAAGGAATGAACCACAATTAAATGTTATGTATACACACCTTAAGAGTTACTACATTTGCAAGTATTTGTCTATTGAACTCTTGCGCAATGTTGGGCAACATTTTACAATTTCGATTTATTTATTTGGTTTGACAATTTGTTGGAATGGAATTCGAAATGATTGTCAATTGTCAACTTATTGGCAAACAGACGTCAAAAAGAGTGCTCTTCTCGAGAAGAAGTTTCTACTGCTACTTGGAGAGTTTTATAATTGAAAAAAGTGAGTTGCTTCTTGCTTGCTTGTTGATTGCTTGGTTGGAGCAATTATAAAAAAATATTTGCACTTCTTCCATTTTTTGTGTGCAGAGTAGAAGAAGAAGAAATGTCATGACAAGCAGCAGTGGTTGATAGTGCATGCATACACAGGTAAAGATGGATGGATAAGAAGATGCGACGTTGGGCCAACACACCCCATCCACCAAGTTGCATGCAATGTTGTTTGAAACAACTCGAGCTGTAATTAAACATGGCTCAAGAAGGAATTATTAATAATAACAAGGATGGAATAATTATTGATAAAACAGCGTCGAGCAAGAAAGTGTCTCCGTGTTTGAATGAGCGTGGTCGATGGTGGTTTGTGGGAGGGTGCGAATTCAAAAGTGAGTTTGAATAGACGTTTTTTACCTATGAATAAACGCTGTGATGATGCTGTCCAATGATAAGGAATGTTGTTACGCAATGAAAAATTAGCTAATTAAGAACTAATTAACTAATTGATTGAATACGACAACTGGTATACGGATGGTGGAGGTGTGTGTATTGGAAACTTTGTAATATTTGGACTTGTCTCTTTTGAATAAATAATATTACCGTACAAGATAACGGTTGAGTTCGTAATTTCTTGTTTTTTTTCGTCTACGGGATTTATAATGTGTAAATATGCAGATATTTTTTAATACAAATATTTAGACCATATTTATTTATTAGTGACGTTTTTGTTTGTACTAGTTGAGAAGCATTTTCGTTATTCCAGTCAACTTCAGAGTTTTAGTTGTGTAAAATGTGAAGTAAAAGTTTGAGCCAAGCACAAATTTCATACTTCCCTTAACTAACAGCCAGTACGATGCATAACGTAAGGTACGTAACGTTGTTAATGTTTTGATTATCACATTTTCATCCGAGAAGCAGTTATGTCAGGA